AGTGCCCTCCTCACTGCCTGTTGGGTCAAGCCTGTGTTCCTTGCTGTGACATCGCAGGCCCAGTGCTTGGTGTCCCTGTTGCATGACACGCTGAGCGCAATACTTGCCATCTGGGTATGTGCCTGGTGTGCCCCTGCCTGCATGCCTCCATAGCACACTCACTCCCTCCTTAATCCTGCCAGTTCAGTCTGTGTTCATCTTTTGCAGCCCTGCTCCTCAGAAGCGCTGTCTTCCATGAAACCTTCCTGGATAGACACTAGCTGGAAATGTTTTTTTTTTTTCTGGTGAGGGAAAGCATCATATTTCCATCTCCCTTATGGCATGTAGTCATACATTGTCTTGAATTATAATTATTTGAGTGTCTGTGTATTCTTCCTGTCTTCCTCATTAGAATATCTTCTCAGGGACAGTGTCCTGTTTTCCTTTATATCCTCCATAATTGGGCTAAATAAACAACTTTGGAATTAATGGGAGAGGTCCTTTTATTTGGGAGTTGGGATTTCCTTTGCTCCAACATCTACCCACTAAAAGAAGTCAGAGTTTTATAATCCTAGAAAATCCAAAAGAAGTAGCAGGCAGGACAGTAGGGTCTCTTAGAGGGGAAACAGTACCTTCCATGTTCCTCTGTCTTATCTCAGATGTACCTTGTTCGGGGATATGTCATGAATTGCCTTCTACCCAGTCAGCCTGCATTCTGCCATTGTGCGTGAATAATTTGCTTGCGTGTATTGGTGCCTGATTTTTCTGCTCTTTTCATTCTACTCCTTGGGTAATAAAATGATGCCTTGATGGCATGGACATTTCTGCTTTTGCTGTGAGATTTTGTCTGGTTCCTTTACCAGACTGACTGCCTTTTCCAGCCAGCAACTGCCACAGGGAATTCAAGGGCTCAAACAGCAGCAGTCAAAAGATGCTCTCACTGCCCACTTCCTGTAGACAAGGAGGTTTTGGTGGGCTGCTCAGGAACTGTGCCAGCCCTGTGTCTGACTGGTGACTGACTCATGAGAAAAGCAGCCTCATGTCTGAAAGATAAGAGCCAACAAATCACCTCCAGGTGGTGGTAGTTTGGAGGTGACTGACCATTCATTTCCTCTCTCTGGGAGGAGCCAGCAGGGATGGAATCAGTGAATAAGTAGTCTTGCCTGCATTTTTTTCCAGCTATTAGTGAAACAGCCGAGCAAATAGTTGGTTCTCTCTGTTGGAATGGTAAGTGGACCCCTGTGCCCTCTGAATGCCTTCTGTGGCTGTCAGGGTATCAGACTTGTGTGTCATCCATCCTGTGTCCTCCCTTCATTACTCTCTCATCCTCTTGCCAGGAAGCTGGCTGTGTGCACCAGGGGAACTCTGCTTGTTCCATCACTGCCAGATTTTTCTGTGACCAGCCAAACCTCATCCCTACCGATTTGGTTTCCTGCAGATCTCTCCCTGACCCAGGAGTTGATCAGAAGCGATGGTTCTGAACCGCTGTCCCTTGGCTGGGCTCAGTGGGTCCAGGCAGGTGGGCCTGCCTGTTGTCCCCTCCTCTTCCCTCTCCCCCCTCCTGCCTCGCTCCCATTTCCTGCAGGAGGACGCTCTGCCATCCTGGAGCCGTCAAGCGCAGCTTTGCTTTGGCAGCACCGTCGCACACACACTGGTGGGAGAGGGGACGTGTTTATCACTTTTCCTGGAGATTATCTGTTTAAGCACTTCTCTGACAGTTACAATAACAAGGGCAGTGTGTTGTGTTTCCCAGCAGAAGGACACTTGCTGTTGAAAGATGTATAGCACTAATTAGAAATACATAACATCCGGCCACATGGCAGCCTTCTCCTGGCCGCTCCATTTCCTGATTTCATACAACTTTGACGACAGTTGGTTTATGTTTTCCATGAATATTTTCTCAGAAAAATGAGAAAGTCTCCCTGTTACATAGGAGCGAGAAGAGTATTTCTGCCTGAGCAGGTATTTGGCCAGAGAAATAGTGGGAGTTGTGGTCACCTGCCCATCTGAGAGCAAGTGGGAAGGGGCAGAACCAAGCTCAGACCTCAGGTGACTTTCTTGGTAAGAAATATTTCCGTCTGACTTCCTTAGCCAGAACCATCCCCCTACACCCTTGAACAAGCCTGCTTTTGGAAAGAAGGGGAAAGGCTGTTTCACAATGTTAATGAGTTCTTCAGCTCATGTCAGGCTCCTGCTACCTGACACAAAGCCAGAGGAACCCAGGCAAATACCAAGGAAAACAATGCTTTTTCCTTCCCCACCCCACATCACTTGTTGGCCTGGCCCAGCCCAACTCCAGGGATATATATGGGCACTTGTAAGACTGGGGCCAGCTTCCTAGGCCTAGCCCCGGAGTGGGCGGACCTGGGCCTCCGGATGCTGCTTTCCTACCCACGGGTATAAGAGTGGGTATGTCTCAGGGCTGGCATTTTATGGCTTCTAGTCCACAGAAGCCTAAGTGAGGCAGAGGGCTTCTCCTGAAGATACCATAGCACTTACATATTTCTCACAGGACGCACTGGGTCCGAGTTGCCATGGTTACTTGGGTAAATAACTATAGATGCTCAGTATGTGCTTCTGGTACCGCTGAGCCTTAGAAGAGGGCAGGCCTTCCAGAAAGCACTCTATATGAAGTGGTCAGTCAGAGACCTGACCGAGACCCAGCATTCTGACCCCTGATAGCTGTGATACTGCCACCTGCTTGATCAGAGCAGAACAACTTACTGGTTTGTACCTCCCATCAGTCAAACCAGAATATAGCGGGGAGTGCTGTCAGACCCTTCCTGGGGAGTTGGAGGGGCCGGGGTGGGGGTGAAGGGTTGAGGTGACATAACCATGGCCGAGAGCAGAGCAGTCATGAAGCTGCTTTTCAACTGCTGCCCTGAGAGGTATCTGCTTCCAGATACAGCAGGGAGGCTCCCGCCTGGTCCCCAGACCTTATTGCAGGAAGCTTAAAAAAGGAGCCAGCCTGGACCCCTCAGAGGCCTCAGTGTCATTGTTTTTGAGCAGTTCATTCTCGTCCTTGAGCCTAGCCCTGTGTACTCTGAGAAGGACTCTAACCTGAGGTTGACATTTGTCATAAAAATAGAAATGGTATGGGTGAAAATAACCTCCCTTTGCCCCATCTTATCCTTATCCAGGCTAATGAGGGTGTCTTGTATTCTTGGGCTTCTGCCAGTCCTTACAGCTAAGATACCCCCTCTCCATCTCTTCTGAGGGCCTTCTGTGTGCAGGTAACTTCTGCCTAAGATGCCCAGTTGATGAGGGGACACGAATGTGTACTCAGATGTGTCAGCTACCAGGATGTAGCTTATTCTCCCGTTCTGGGCTTTGTTGCTAATTGGAGGCAGACTGCTGGCAGTGCTCTAAAGGGGCCTGGACTGAGCTGGGGCAGCACAGATGGTGTTGCTGCCTGTAGTCAGGGTGGCAGGGAGAAGCTGGCATCTTCCCTTGGGATGGCTTACACATCTTCCCCTTCCCTACTTTCCATCCTCCCTCTGCTTGGTTCTCGGATTCTTGTTTCCTCTCTCTCTAGCAGAGATTTAGGGCCTTACCAGAAGAGGAATGAGAGTGGTGATCTATTCTAATCACATGGATTGTTACCACTTCCTTACTGCCTGCCACAGTTGAGTTGGAAAGTTAGAGGGTGACATTTGGGACCAGTGGGCATCTGGAAGGATGGTGGGAAAGCCACAAAAGAAGAATTGCTATACTGATGCTATTCATATGTTGGGACCTTCTGAGCAGCAGCCTGTTCCTTCTCACTTCCAGGGCTTTCTAAAGTGGTTTGGGGCTGGCTTTGCATACTCCAGTCATGTTTGCTCCTGTGGCCAAGACTGTTAGGAACAACTGTGGTTGTGTAGCATCTCCTGGAGTCAAGACTTCAATTAGGCTCCACTGAAAAGACTAGTGTCAACAAGAAGAGAGGCGAGAGGGAGCTCCCCCTTTGGCCATTGAGGTTAAAATGCAGACAGGGACAGCGATCAAACATGTGGCTAATTATCCTTTTAACACTTGGAGATTCTGAGAGTTCTCCTGTATTAGGAGGGAATTAACAGACCAGCTGCCACCAGAGCAAGCGAGCCTGGCCCCCGATTCCAACTCCTGTGCGTATAGGGTGTCTCTTCCTCTGAGGCTGCAGGCTGGACTGCTGCCTTCCGTTTGTCACCTGTTCCTCTCAATTCTGGATGAAGTGTCTTATCAGGAAGGGCCACAAGTGGTTTGAGGGTGTGTATGTAGCTCCCACTAAGGAATTGCCCTGGCCACCACCAAGGTGACTCCTTTCCCTGACCTGCAGTCAGAAGGCAGTTGACCAGCTGAGGAAGTGAGGGGAATAGGGTGCTGGCATTGGAAGCCAGATTTATTTCTCAGCCCTAGGGGAAAGAATTTGTGAAAATTAAAGCTGACACCGATTAAGTGCTTATTATGTGCCAAGCACTGTCCTACATAGTTAACTTATTCAGGTTATTGAAAATAGATTATTTGTAAGTGTCATGTGTGTTCTCTGAGGAGGACGAATAGAGAAAAGGTAAGGATGGAACCAAGGTTGGTGATTCAAGAAGATAACTTTTAAAGTTATATTTTTCTCATCTTAATTGGTAATTGTATTCCTGCTGTCTATACATTAGAGAGACTGAGTTAATTAAATAAGAATTTTTGTTACTGTGGCTTCACATCACCTGCAGGCAGCTAAAGGCAGAGAGCATGCAGCTCTGGCTTACACTGCTCACCTTGGGGCAACTGGTCCTGGGGAAGTGATGTGGTTCCAAATTTACACAAGTGAGCCCTATAACAACCTCACTGAGTGTTTATTCACATGCGAGGCATTGTGGTAAGTGCCTCACGTGCATTACTGTATTTAGCCTTTCAGCTACCCTCTGTAAAGGGGAGTATTACGACCCCTAGTCTTAGATGAGGAGAAAGAGCTCAGTGACACAACCAAGGACACGGACCTCATAAGGTAGGGAAGAGGAGCCCCGGGCCCACAGGGTGCTGATGGGGTTTCCTTTGCGTCTCCTCAGACTGCTTCTCGGAGGAGTGTCGCTCTGTGATCCAGGAGCAAGCCGCAGCCCTGGGCCTGGCCATGTTTTCTCTCCTGGTGCAGCGCTGCACCTACTTACTTAAGGAGTCGGCCAAAGGTAAGCAGGTGAGGGGCCCCCTGGCTGGTGGGCTTTCCAGCTCCTGGGTCCTGTCCAGACAAGCTCTGCCTGCCATGCTGCTTTCTCTGTGTCTGCTCCCTCTGCTCCCCGCGCTTCCTCGTCCCGGCAGCCTCTCTTCCTTTTGCCCATCTCATCTGTGGCCTGCTTTCCTCCCTGTGGAACCCTACCCTCCCTCTCTTCTCCTTTACTAGTCAGGATTTTCACTGTATTGCTGGACTGCTGCATGTTTCTCTTGCAACTTAAACAAACAAACAAACAAAATACAGAAAAGTGAGTTTCCCATGGTGTTTATAACGGATGTTTTGGTTTCCCCCCCGTCTGTATGTCCTTCTTTGGTACCTAGTGAGGGCTATAACCACTGTGGACCAGCCATCTCAGGAGACCCACTGGACTGCAACAAGAGTTCTTTTTAGCCCTTGGCTTGAGCAGTATTCCAGTATCCTTTAAGGCTGCCCTCAGAATTCCAAGCTTGATTGCTGAGCCGTGTAAGATAGGGCTGAAGGGTACACCTTTCTCTTGCTCCTGGGTCAGTTTGGATGAGTAGTGAGGCCCCTCTATTGTTCCCCTGCCACACCAGCTTTTTGTGAATGCCTCTAGTCTTACGGGCTGCACTCTTTTGGAGGGAGGGTAGAGGTAACTTTATTTTGAAACAATTTCAAACTTAAAGAAAAGTTCTTAGAATAGTACTGAGAGCTCTCTTACATACCTTTGCCCAGATTCCCTCAAAAATGATTATCATTTTTACCATATTTGTTCTAAGTTCTCTCTCTTTTCGTACACACGTACGCTTAATGCTTCTTATTTTTCTTCTGTACCATTGGATTGTAAGTTCTGGACGTGGTAGCCCTCCCCCCTCAAATACTTGACTGTGTATTTCCTAGTCACAAGGACATTCTCTTCCATGACAGTACTGTTATTAAAATTGGGAAGCCAGCATTGATATAGTACTATTATTGATTCTACAGACCTTACTAAGTTTGTAACAATTGTCCTAAAACAAGTTTCTTTCTGGTCTAGGATCCACTCCAGGATCACATGTTATGTTCAGATGTTGTGTCTCTTTGGTCTCCTTCAGTCTGGGATGGTTTCTCTGTCTTCCTTTGTCCATCATGATCTTGACATTTTTGAAGTGTACAGGTTATTTATTCTGTAGAAAGTCCTACAGTTTGGGTTTCTCTGCTGTTCCCTCATGGTCAAATTCAGGTTGTGCAGGAACCCTGGTACCATCTCAGTACTGTGCTGAAGGAAAGCTGAAAGTGGGGATGGGGGCTGGAGGCCTGAGGAGCAACTTCAGACAAGCCACAGGTAGAGACAGCTGTCTGCAGGGCAGACCCAGTGCACTGGTTCTCTCTTTGTCCTGCTTTTCTGAATCCTCTTAGGTGCTGGCCTTTGTCCTTTGCTTCTGGGCCCAGCTTTCCTGTAGACTTAGTCTCCCTTCCCTAAGAGCTTGCTGCCATTCCAGGGCCCCAGGCCTCACTCAGGGGCCACAGCAGACATAGGCCCAGTTCTCACCCTCTCCCTCTGCAGCTCAGATGTCCTCTCCTGAGGATGAGGAGGACCAAGATGACATCAAGGTGTCTTCCTTCGTCCCGGACCTGAAGGAACTGCTCCCCAGTGTGAAAGTCTGGTCAGACTGGATGCTCGGCTACCCAGACACCTGGAATCCCCCACCCACCTCCTTGGATCTGCCCTCACGGTGAGTCAGCCTTGGCCCACCCGTGTTCCCACAGCTCCCCCCCCAGTCCTCTTTTTCCCTCCCTCCCGCAGTCTGCTTGTTTCTGTCCTCCTTCTACATTTGCACTTGGGTTTTCCCCTTCCTTGACCACCTTCCTCATCCCCTGATGTACTAGGCTATTTTTGCCTGTTCTCCGGTCTGCTCTTCCTCCTCTCTCCATCTCTCTTGCTCTCATGCCATAGCTTGCTCTGTTTTGTTCTTTGTCCTTGCTCTTGCTAATATTCACTGCATATTGTTCATACTTACTGTCTCTGCAGCTGCCTCCTGAGTCCTGGTGGGTGTCGGTCAGTGTTTGTGAGAGATTCTGTCTCTTTCTCTCTATTAGTTTATCTCCTTGCATCTCTCAGGCTACCTCTTGCTGCTGCTCCTGCTGTCCTGCGCCCTCGGTCTCATTGCCTCCCTCTCACAACATTGCAGCGTGTGGTTGTCTGTGTGTGTCTGGGGATTTGTCTTTGGAAGGGTCTTTTGGTGTGCATGTCCATGTCTGTGTGTCCATAAGCTGTGTCCATATCTGTGTCTGTGTCTGTCCTTGTATGTGGGTCTCTTGGCAGAGTTCACATGTCCCCATGAGGAATCTGTTTCTGTGTGTGTGTGTGTGTCTCCATGTCTATTGTGTCCATATCCGTGTCTGTGTCCAGATCTGGGCCTGCATCAGTCCATATCTGCTTTGGTCCTGTCCATGCCTCTCTCTGTGTGTGCCTGTGTCCTGTGGGAGTGTTTGTGTTCCTGCATGTCTGTGCCCAGGACTGCCTGTATCCATGTCCATGTTGGTCCATAACTGTGTCTCTGTGTGTCAGTCTTGGTCTCTCTGGCAGAGGTGGACCCTACTGTATATGTGGGTCTGCCTGTATCCACCTGCCTTGCCTATGTCTCCCTACCTGTCTCGACCTGTCTCAGCCTGTCTCAGCTTGTCCTCGTCTGCCTCTTTTTGCCTGTCTTTGCTGTTTATGTGTATCTGTGTCAGGGGTCAGCAAGCCCTCATGAGCTAAGAGTGGTTTATATTTTTAAATGGTTGAAAAAAAAATCAAAAGAATAAGATTTCATGACTTGTGAGAAGTATATGGAAGTCCCATTTCAGTAGCCGTGAAGTCGTATTGGAACATGGCCATGCTTGTTTGTTTACACTTTGTCCGTGTGCTTTCACACTGCAGCAGTAGAGTTGAGTACTTGTGACAGAGACCGTATGGTCTGCAGAGCCAAAAATATTTACTGTCTAGCCCATTATAGAAAAAGTTTACAGCTCCTGATCTATATCCATCTCCCCTTGTGTCCTGTTCTTCTCTGTGTCAGTGTCACTGTGTATGTGTTCATGTTCGCACAGGAGTGTCTTAATGTATGTGCACTTAGGTGCCTATCTCTGGTCAACTCTGTTGACTCTGCATTTCCCTCCCTCCTCCGTATTCTCTTCCTTTCTCTGTCTCTCTCTTGGTTTCTCTGTCTCTGTCTCTCTGTTTGACCTTTCCTTCTCCCTTTCTCTTCTTCCTTCCCTCTCTGTCCCCCATCCTCTGCAGTGTAGTCTCTGGCAGGTGCAGTGCACTCGGGGTTCCTTCAGGCTCTGTGTTGGGTGTGTATATGTGTGTTTGGGAACAAGCATCCATACCCAGCATCTCATCATTCTTCTCCAGTGCTCTTCTCTGGGAGGGGAAAATACTGGAGGATGGAGTATGGATACCTAGGATGCTGTTAGCAGCATTTCTAGGGAGTGGGGAGGGGTGCTTCTCTGGGCTGTGGGCCAGCTGTGTGACTCTCCCAGACTTGTGGGTGACCCGCAGAGGGAAGACTGCAGCAGAGATTTCTGGCCAGCAGTTATTGACCTTTCTGTGTAGACGACATAGTGTGACTCTTTCCCACCTTTCCTTTCTCACATTTCTTCCTTCTCCTCACCCCAAGAAGCACCCCTGGACTGTTAAGCCTTGCCTCCCCAGGTCCCCCCAGCTGTAGTTCTGTAACCATGTGGGTGATGCTCACAGCATCAAACAGTTCTCTGCTTTCCTGTGAACCCTCCTAGGTTTCCAAAATACACTCCAGGCTGAGGCCTGGTGCACCAGGGTTGAGCCCTTAGCTGGGCAGCTGTGGCCACACAAAGGAACAGACTGCTCTACTGGTTAGGGGGCAGCTGTTTCCCAGCAGTGTTCCCCAAAGAGTTAACGTGTACAGCCTCAAACTTTTCAGGCCATTAATCTGCAACGCCGACTAGGCAATTTGCAATTTTGGAAAGAAACTGACAAGGAAGGGCTCTTCTCTCCAAATATCTGAAGCCACTGCTTCTGAGCATGTGCAGAGGTCACAAAGTGTTCCTCCCTTCCTCTCGAGGGGTGGGGAGGCAGACCATCTGTCCCTGGAGCTTGGGCCTTCCCTGGGTCACCCCACCTCACAACCACAGGTCCCTTAGATATGGTCCACCCAGCCCCTGTTTACCCATATTCTGGCCATCAGGCCTGTTAACTCTCTTCTGCAGCCTGTCTCCCTTCATCCCTCCTCCCTCTCCGGCTCCCTTTGGCTTTTGTTTGGCTGAGGAAATGGAAAGCTCACACAGGAAGTGCTGGGCCTCATTTGCTTGAGGTGCTGAGTCTGTTTCTCTTTGGATGCTGCAGTAAATGGCCCGTTGCCGGCTCATGCGAGCTGCTGCCCATCTTTGGGCAAGGGCTCAATCTGCAGCTGGGCACGTGGTCCGAGCTACAGCCATCCCCAGCTGGGCTTCACCTCCAAGGCTACAGAGAGGCAGAGTGGGTTGGGACATTCCAGTCAAATTTGCTTAGTCTTTTCAGACTTTTCTTCACAAGGACAGCAAATCTGACCAAATAGTATGTTGAATCTGATTGCCTAGTGAACAACTTCCTATCACTGTAACTTACTTTTTGACAAGTCTAGTCTAGGCTAGAGAAGTCAGTGTGGTAGAGCATAGAATCCCCTTCTGCAGTGTGTCTCTTTGCAGTCAGGATCAGTGGCTGGTTGTCTCTGGAATGCAAGTTTAAGCATAAAGGAGGGGCTTTGCCGTCCTGAGGCCTGACCACAAGCCATGGCGGTTTGAGGGCTGGTGCCACTGTTGAACAGAGCAGACCTGGCCTTGACCACCACTGAAGTTCATCCCACCTCATAGCCTTCAGATCCAAGTAATGGATAAGTGGAACAAGAATTTACCTCCCTTCTTCCTAGTTTCTCATATAGCTGCCTAACACTCACTGATATGATAGTTGGGAGATTGGCAAGGTATGGTGGTTTTGTAGGTTTCAAAGTTGCATCTTATACCCACTGATCTTCTGTACTGGAGAGCCTTTTCTTTTAAGGCCATAGGGAGTAACATCTCCTGATAATTCTGTAGATGTCATAACAGTAATCCCTCTGACACTCTTAAGGTCCTAGTGCTGCTCTTCATTTTGGAGGATTTAAGAATGCTCTCAAGAGAGTAGGAAGGAGATAGCTTACACTTAACGCCTTTCCTTTGCTTGATTCCATTGGTCTTTGCCTGCATTTGTTCTCTGCAAGGACAGATTTCTCATTGATCGTAAGTTAAGGTGACCAGATAACTTACATTTCAGCCTGCTTCTCCCCCAGAAATCCCTACTCCCAGGTTGTCTCCTTGGCACATTTGGACCCTTCTTTAATCTTGCTCCTTTCATTCCCTCCACATCTTTCCGTGTGTAACCATCTTTCCTTGTACAGTTAGAGAGTCATTTCAAAGCATCCTCTGCTTTCCCAGGGGAGTTCCAAAGCGCATCATTAATCTCCTGGGTTCTCTCCTCTTTGCCCTTCTTTCTTCTTTCTGGTCAGATTTACTTTTTCTAGGCAATAGCCACTTAATCTCCTGGGTTTTCTCCTCTTTGCCCTTCTTTCTTCTTTCTGGTCAGATTTACTTTTTCTAGGCAATAGCCACTTAGGCACACATGGAGCACTTTGATGATGACAGAACATCATTGACACTGCAGAGTGATAAGGGCAGGATTTCAGGGCCATTTGTGCCTTCCCACAAAGTGGCACTTAGTAGGTGTGTGTGCTGAAGTCAGCACGTGAGTACGTCGACTTCCAATTTATATATGTTAGGAGTTATAATTGGATGGCTTTATATCCCAGGAGATTTTGGTACAGAGGATTGTTGCAGGGTGTGGAAAGTTGCCTTGAGCCACTGTAAAAGACAGTGTAGAGTGCTTTGGTCTGTTTAGAACAGACCACAGTGTTTGGAGGGGCCATCTACTTGTAGGGGTGGGGGGAGGAGTGGGGAGCACAGTTTCTGTGCCAGGCCTCTTGTTAGAAGGGAGGGGCAGCTACTCCCCACTTTACTAAGTCAGCATGAGGCAAGTGGTGAATGTCAGGTGGTAGAGAGGAGCAGAGCAGCAGGCTTCCACGAGCCTAAGTGTGGACCCCTTGCATCCCAGGACCTTTGGCAGGGCCAGGGCAGCAGGACAACCTACCTCATTTCATAGTCTCTGCTGAAGCCAAATCTTCCCTCATCTTGATCTCTAGTTCTCAGTAAGTGAAAGAGTCAGGGGACTTTGAGAACATCCAAACCTAGCCCAGCTGTGGCAGTTGGTTTATTGCTTTCAGCTGGTACTTGAACCCAGGTCCTGGTCTTGGAGGCTTTCCCAGGTTTAATCCCCAGAGCTTTCTCTGCAGCTGTATGACACTGCGCTGACCCCGAATGAGGATAGGAAAATAGAACCAGTGCCAAGCCAGAGTCTCTTTTTCATTTGGAGTCTGGCTGTCTGCCCATGACCAGGGTTACATAATGGGAAACATAGCTGGGGCTCTGGAGAGCCCGCGTTTCACCAGGCTGCCCAGACCTTCGCATTCTGATGCTATATATCTTCCTAATTGTAGCTCGGATGCATTTATCACACTGTTGGATTGGAGTACTGTTAAAAAAAAAACACTCAAATTCCTGGACTTGCTGCTTTTCCGTGGCTTGTCTTGTATAGTCTACAGAGCATGCTGGAAAAGTCTTGTAGGGAGCCCTCTGAGGTGCT